CAATATATTATTAAAAATAGAGAATGAGTTTAACTCTTTAAATTTGAAGAGTTGAAACTTAGCCCCCGTTTGGTCCTCATTAATTTCTATTACATTACATTACATTTTTTCCTCATATTTTTAACCATACAATCTTCCATAAAATAATATTACACGTAAATCGAAAACTTTTCATTCTTTTTCAACCACTTATTTTTTTTTAAAAATATTATTCCACCTATTTTCAATTCTACAAAATGGGGGTCAAATGAGGGCTTACTTTGAAGCATTAGCTTTTTAAAATAAAGAGCATTTTGTATTAAAATTTTTTTTCTAGATATGTATAAATAAAATTATCATAAGGTTCCGCATGCGATCTTTAGTGTTATACATCTATTGCATATAAAATGCATATATTTCACATCATTGACTTGATCATGGTTGCCTGTCACTTCTTTTCGTTTTGTAGATATTAAAGCAATGATTCTGAACGATAAAAATTCCTCCAAACTGTATTGAAATATATTTTCCACAAGAATATTTATATTTAATTATCAAATGGGGCGTTTAATATGTACTGCTTAAGTTCAAAACTTCGTGTAATATGAATATACTCATGAACGTTGGTGAGTATAGTATTTTTCAGGTTCTAATCAGTTTCGAATTTGCTACGAAAACGTGCAAGTTTGCGACTATAACAAGAGCTTAGAAAATTAATAGCTCCTCCTTGTTTGGTAGGGATTAAAATAAGATTTTTAGTAAATTTTGATAAAAGTTGTGAATCCCATGAAATATGTGGTTATAATTGTTGACTTTGACTTAGTCTGACAAGTCTCCAACAATTTTCTCTTGACATCGAGTTTTGACTTATCTCTTATTCTATTTTGATTATAGACAGCTATTTTAACGAAAATGAAACCATTGTCGATGTTTAATTAATAAGGCCCTGTTCTCTTTACCGTTTTCGGGCCGTTTTCTATTTTCGATTTTTCAAAACGGTGAAAACGTGTTCTCTTTCCCGTTTTCGAAAATTTTAATTAATAAGGCCCTGTTCTCTTTACCGTTTTCGGGCCGTTTTCTATTTTCGATTTTTCAAAACGGTGAAAACGTGTTCTCTTTCCCGTTTTCAAAAACGAATTTTCAAAAACGAAAAAAAATTTTGTGAAAAAAACACAAAACGACTTTTTTGTCGTTTTGGGCGTTTTCAGTGTAAAACTTGAAAAAACTGAAAACGCGGGAAACACCGTTTTCAGTGTAATTTTTTTTTTTATTTTTTTTTTTATTTTTTTTTTGGAGGTGATCTTGTGGTGATTCTCAAAATTTCAAAAAAAAAAATTTTCATTTTTTTTGTTTTGAGAAACTAACAAAAAGAACGCATTTTCAACAATTTCAAAACAAACACTCAAAACACAAAACTCAAAATGAATTTAAAACTCAAAACACAAAACTGAAACACAAAGAGAACACCCCCTAAGTAATTTGGAGATCGAGAAAAGACTTAAACACACATCTAATTCTTTTTCTTTTTAAAACTTGAGGGATCAAAAATCTGAATAAAAAGCATTACTCATCAAGAGAATTGTGCTGCTACATAATTAATTCAATTAGTTCTTTATAAGACACTAAACTATAGTTATCACGACGAAAAAGTTGTGATTTGGAATTAATTAATAATGAAATGCTTGTTAATACTTGATTAACATGTCTAATCATCATTAATATAATAAAGAAGGCATCAAAGCTCTAAACTCGAAATTCTTTTTGCCGCTGCTTTGTTGAAAACAACTTGCCCACCAAGCGCCGATAATGTGTGCTATTATCATTGAGTAATGTTATTTATCATGAGTAGAGATTGAATGGCATTATTCTTTTCTATTACAAGATAATGGCAAATTTGACCAACCAATAAAAAGTTATGAGTTAACAAAACAAGAGGAATTCAATGGATTCCTTTCCATAAGGAGAATCCATATAAGCACCATTAATGACCAATAGAATATATGTCATGAGTTAGAAAAAAAGAACTTAGTGCTTGTTTGGTACAGATTTTAAGTATATTAAAATTAATTTTTTTTTATCGTTATTTCACTATGCCAAACGTCATTTTTGAATTCTTCTCTTACAGATAGGAAATGCTTGTAATAAGGTATAAAAAAAAATTTAATGTTGCTTCAAAGTGCTTTGCACATTAGTTTGGGATGGACTTCACCACTGCCAATCTTCTATAGCTCGAGGAGTTTGTAACCCGAGTACGTAGCCATGTAAGAGCATTTCTAATGATGGTATAAAATAGAGATTTAGATATTCAAAGTGGTCGAAAACTCTCCAATGGAGAGATGCGAGGAAAATATAATCGCCCCATTGGAGTAGAATTTGGATTTAGATTCATTGAAATGTAAATAAGAATGGAGAAATGATTTTGAATATACAAATTTACATCCAATTTTGTACCACCATTGAAGATGTTCTAAAAGAAAGGTTTGGACTGCTTGGTTGCATGGTTCATTGTTTGAGCTAAAACCATAAAAAATAATGTTCCGATCCATCGTGATAATGAAATTTCTTTGTCCTTATTCAAAATTCTATGTTTGTGCTACATGTATCATGTATAAAATAGTTTGTATAATGGTTTACATACACATGATATAGTGAGATAATGGTGATATATATATATATATTTTCCACTTTCTTTTTGACATAGCATTTGTATGTAAATCATTATATAACTCCATTATGTACAAGTAAGATTATTCAAAATACGTATCATGTTCGGTTGTGCTATATGTACATAACAACTTATATAATGGTTTACCAACAAATGATGTACCGATATTTAATTGGATCAAAATTACACCAATCAAATAATTTCCCCATTTACATTTTTACACCCCACCGTAGTGGTGTAAAACATTATGTAAATAATTATATACAAAAAGCATTTTCCTGTAACGTTGGGTCCAAACATAGAGATGTTAAAAATCATTTCATTTGAGAAAAAAGCTACTGCCCATGAGGTGATACTGGAAAAAGTAACAACAAAGGACAATCTCTCGTGCATGGGAACAAGAAACTTTTACTTGGAGAAAAATAAGTTACCTGAACATGTATATAGACACAGTAATTTTAATTATATTTAAATAGCTAAATTTACTAGTAAGTAAATACATAAGTTTTAAGCAGTAACTTCATTTATTAATCACAGTTAAAATTAAGTTACTTATTCTGACAATAACATACTTTTTTAATTATAACTCAAACCGCTACGACGTCATGGAGTATTTATTCTTATAGAAATAAAAAAAAAAAATTACTTTAATATAGATACCATACAAATAAATTACTTAGTCTAGAGGATTTGGGAACTAAAACGTAAAAGAAATAACATCTATATGTCGTAAATCTCTACATCATGCAACATGTGTAATATTTTGTTGGATCATATTAACCTTCATAATCACTATTCATGTAAGAGTTCTTCCATGTCTGTTCATAATCAATTTGTGGCAAGTTTATCTGTCGTCGTTATTATCATATATGTATCAGAACTCAAAAGCATCATCTGCATACAAAGGACTCAATATAAGAATAATAAAGCCTTCAACTCTTGTCCCAAGTGTAGACTTGAATAGGGCGGATCCAAGCATGGGCTCCACCGTGCTATAGCCAGTGTCTGCCCTTGAAAATGTCCACTGTATTGTTAGTTTTTTTTTTTTAAAGATAAATTCATGTATATTTGTATTGTAGTCGTGTCCAAACTTAAGGTTAGATTCGCCACTGGACTTGAAATCTTTTAAACACACGCACAGGAGTGGTGTGTGCGCATCATTTATTGTCCAATTTTCTATTCTCATGTAGCTTATATCTTCACAACTAGATTACTATCCATTGGGGTCAACTTGTATCTCATGAAGATGTTAACTTTTTCCTTTTTCCCTTTTTTTTTTAAGTAAAAATTAAGAGAGAAATGTAAGTTATCCAAACTTGTTTTTGACGGAAAGTTGATAAATAACTATACTTATTTTACACTAATAACTTAAAAATGTGCCTTTTTTTTTTTTTTTTTTGGAAATAGACAAACACTGTGTCGCAAAAAAAGGTGTATGAAGTGCTTGTTTAGTAGTGTTTTTAAGTTCTTATAAGTTCTGGATTCTGCATAATATATGGATAATAAACGAGTAGTAAATTATGATCTTACAACATGTGCAGATAAAAAGTATGTTTGATTAATTTATATTATATTGTAAGCTAAACATGCTCTAAATCAATGTTTGACATTAGTAATGAGCCATACAAAATGTGTGAATAAAAAGTAAATTAGAGTCGTGAATTATAATGTTAATATAGCTTTGTCATCCACCTATTATTATCAATCTTATTTTATTCACTTGATAAACTAGGGGTACCATTGCACCATGTATTAAAGTTTGAAATTCCATTCTAAAATACGAATCGATTAAAAGAGGTAGAGCAAATTTTTATTGGTTAAATAATGTTTCTTCCATATTCGACTTGACTCACTTGAGATTTGTACCATAGCACCACCCTGGTGTTATGATTGAATATTTTCACCTAATTTAGCCCAACTTCTATAAAATATAATATATAATCTATCTATAGCCCATGCTTGGCACAGCTAAAAAATTTAAGTCAAATTTAAATCAAATCCACAATTAATTTTGGTCATATACTTCATAGTATCCACAACTTTTCTAACAAACATTTTATCAAATTTTATCAAAGTCTATTAAAAATCTAATTTTAATTTCTACCAAAACAGTGGCATAATACGTGAACTGCTATAAGGTAAACGTTGTAGCATAAAGAAAACCTGTGTGGGTAATCTTTTTTCCAAATTGTCTAACGATGCTCCACCACGTGTCTTCCTGTTTTCTAACCTTGTCATTAAGTCTTTTTGTGTAGCATGATCGAAAAAAAATAATGCATGTTGACAGTCTGCATAAGAAATATGCATGGCTGCCACTTTTCATCTCCATAAATACCAGTCCAATTCCAGGAATTGTGCAGGGGATACAAAGAAGAACATGTAACTAGCTATGCACATTCGTCTTTCTTATGAACACAAAGCTTTCACTTTCTCTATATGCTTTTTCTCTTTTTCTTCTGTCTTTATATATCATAGAGGTGCTCATGATAATACCACAGCATAAACATGCAGAAAATACTTTCTTCTCTTCTTTATATTGATTATACGCTGCTCCAACTGTTCTACTATTTCCTTTTCATCAAAACTTTTTCAGGAAGCAAAAACAGGAAAGGGCTTTCACAGATTTTCAGATTTTCTTCTGCATTTTGCCACATCTTCTGATATATATGGGTATAGACGTATAGTTATCCTCCATAACTTATTACTTTTTCTCGTGTATCTGCATATATCGTTGAGAAAAAATTACAAATTTTTTTTTTCTTTTTCTATCATCTTTTTGAAGTGTGTATTGCACTTTCTGCACACAGATTAAAAAACATGATGATTTCACTGCCTGCCTGCAAACAAGCACAGCCCCTTCTAAATTTTCCAAAGGGACTTCACATGGATCAATTTATTCCGCGGCGCCAAAAGGACAAGGTTGTTATAGTAGTTGGTGCAACGGGGACGGGTAAATCAAGACTTTCCATTGATTTAGCCACCCGTTTTAATGCAGAGATTGTGAATTCGGATAAAATGCAAGTGTACAAAGGTCTTGACATAGTAACAAACAAAGTGAAAGAAGAAGAGTGTCGTGGAATTCCCCACCATTTGTTAGGAATAATTGATCCTGATGTGGACTTCACTTCTGATGATTTTGTGCACCATGCATCTCTAGCAGTTGATTCCATTATGAGAAAAGGCCGGCTGCCGATAATTGCCGGTGGCTCGAATTCATACATCAAGGCATTGGTGAATGATGATATAGAGTTTCAATCAAAATATGAATGTTGCTTCCTTTGGGTGAATGCATCTATGGCAATCCTGCATTCATTTGTTTCGAAACGCGTTGATCAAATGGTTGACACAGGTTTGGTTGATGAAGCTAGGGAATTTTTCGACCTCGAGGCAAATTATACACGGGGAATCAAACGTGCCATTGGTGTGCCAGAAATGGATGAATATTTCAGGAATGAGTCAGTTGATGATGATGAAACGAGGGCTAGGCTTCTTAAGGCGGCAATCTATAAAATCAAAGAAAACACTTGCAAATTGGCGTCTCGTCAACACCAAAATATTCTTAGGCTCCAGAACCAACTGAAATGGAATATGCACCACCTCGACGCGACGGAGGCATTCCTCAAACGTGGGGTGGGGGCTGATGAAGCTTGGGAAAGGATTGTGGCCGGGCCAAGCACCCGAATTGTTGGCTGCTTCCTCCACAAACAAGACATCAATCTCATATCAGCCATAACAACACCACCACCCATGACCACAGCAGCCGTCATCGGTACCACAAACATCACCTCAGTCGCAGCCGCCATCCGCTAATAGGATCCCACCTATCAATGATCAGCGTCAGCCTTGGAGATAAATCTTCGTAAAGGCCACGTAGCAGACACCCATAATCTACGGTTACCTTTTCTACTTTACAAAGGTTGCTGTCAAGTCATGAAGTACCTAGATTTGGGGGCCGTACAGCTTGAAGCATTTCAGAAATCTGTGTTGGGCTTCTTCTAATTTCTTTTTCTATTTAATTAAACTACAACGTGTTGCAGGTTTTATTAAAAATGAATAAACATAGTACATATTTTGGATGGAATTGGTGCAAAATAGAGAAAAAAGTAAAAGCTCAGAAATCACACTTCATGTGATATAACTATACTTCTTGTGATCATAGACCGAACTTGCACGAGCTTAATTTTCGGACATGGGTTAGCATTGCAAATTGTAGGTTCTGTGGGGACACAATATTTTGTGATGTGATGAGAAACGCTTACATGTACATAATGATTTGTAAAATGTCAACTACCAATATTTCATTGGATTTTGAATAAAAAATAAAGTTAAATCACCAATTAAATTCTGTCATTCCAACACGTGTAAATCCGTACACATTGCAAATTGTAGGTTCTGTGGGGACACAATATTTTGTGATGTGATGAGAAACGCTTACATGTACATAATGATTTGTAAAATGTCAACTACCAATATTTCATTGGATTTTGAATAAAAAATAAAGTTAAATCACCAATTAAATTCTGTCATTCCAACACGTGTAAATCCGTACATAAAAAAAAAAATGTGTAAGTAGCATTTTTGGTGATAATAATTGTCTACTAAAATATGTAGACACCCTCAAAAGGGAGTGGCGTTTTTGTTCTTCTCTTTTTGAGTATTTATTTTGTAATAGTATTTTTTTTTAATATGAGCTGTATTTATTCTCGGATTTGACAACTCTATGGTGCATCTAAGAGTCGATTATATATATGTATATATACTGGCATTGGAATATATGTACAGTGTTTTCTAAATTTATTGAGTGGTTGGAGCTTTAATCTTGAAGAAATATTTCGAAGTTTTTGAGGTTTTGAGACAAATTCCTCCTCGAATCCCATATCTCATCGCAAACCACACGAGGGTTTTGAATATTTCTTTCTTTTAACCACTTTAGGGTTTTGAATGAGGTAAATTAATGGATCTTGTGAACTATTCTATTCTTCTTTTGGTATTAGATAAAAAAAGAAATTTTCTTCAATTCCCTAAATTCTTTTGTTATCACCACCGAAAGTTTATTGATTAAATAAAATAATGGAATTGGATTCTCTTATATTTCACCAAAATGAATATGCACGAGCTCTGATGAATTAAGTGCAAATTAGATTATTAAGCAACATGAGATTGCTGCATTTGTTTAAAGCTAAAAGGTAATAATTGTATTAAGGTGGATTAGTCAAGCAATTGAAGACTCAAACGACAATAAGATAAACAAAGGAAGCATCAAACGATCTCAATTATGGCCGAAATGGGAAAAAAATTACAAGGTCCCAAGAAGAAAATGAAATAGTTGAGAACTTTGAGTAATTGGCTGAGCCGCCATGACTCCATTGCGACGACAACTTTCAATATGTAAAACATTCAATTATTTCTTGATTTTGCATGTTATTTTTAATCTTCTCTAGTTCTCTTCCTACCTGTTTTTCGCAAACTCATGTTATAACTTACTTATAAGTTCTCTCAATCATACAAATTTCATTGACTACATAAGAATATCACTCATCAGAGCACTCGTACTACTTGTACGGACAATAAGTGACAACCACATAGAAGATGAATATTCCTTTCCAGACGTTTGATGCATGCGCAGAACTAATTAAATTGGTACAAAAATTCGAATATTTTTTATTCTTTGCCTAGGGTTCTACGAGGAAAAATTACAAGGGCATAGAAGAAAAGGCTCAAATAATTCTATTGGTAGGACCCGGACCCGGACCCGGACCCGGACCCGGACCCGGACCCGGACCCGGACCCGGACCCGGACCCGGACCCGGACCCGGACCCGGACCCGGACCCGGACCCGGACCCGGACCCGGACCCGGACCCGGACCCGGACCCGGACCCGGACCCGGACCCGGACCCGGACCCGGACCCGGACCCGGACCCGGACCCGGACCCGGACCCGGACCCGGAACCAACCATGAAAATATGATGTCTTAATCTAGATTCCAACTATAATATTATAATTTTTTTTTCCAATGACCGTCTTTACATATATACCCACTCACTAAAAGTATTTTGGACCAACCTAGCTAGCTACACAAGATAGAAAAGACATCTTTGGTTCTTTACTGTGGAATTGCTTTTCACTTAACAAGTTCACAAATTAGTGGTCAAATCAACTTTTTATAATAGTGGATTAACTTGGCATTACCAATTCGGAAAGAAGAAGTGTTCATGACCTTTTATGGGAATCTTTGATTCTCAACTCAACATGTACAACTAATTAAGATCTGGCAACCTCTTAATTATCATGATATTAAAGTTGATAAGAGAATAAGTTCAAATTCAAATATTTTTATTTATAAAAATTGCGTATGTGTTAGATATTTTGATTAATTATATATGTATGTAATGGTCTGTTCGGTAGTGATTATGATAATTGATTTTTTGACCGTTAAAGAAAAAAGTGAGTCCCACTTGTGAGTAAAGAAGTCAAAAATAACGGTTGGAATACTAAAATAACGATAAAAAATTTGATTTTTTGGGATGAAAAACTGCTAACAAATGGGTGCTAAACAAAATTTTACCATATTAAAATGCAAGAATTTGATAGTAGTACTGTGGTAGATGCAGTCCTATGACAACAGTTGTTCCTTTGAGTGGCCACAAACATATAGTCAAACGAGATATTGAGGTTAAAAGGGGAGGATTTTCTTCTACACTCAAGAGGTGAAAATAGAGAAGACCCTACAAGTTTTAAATTTCTCACAAAATAAGAATCATGTCATAGGTGCAGAAAAACTTACACGGAAATCATACAGATGGACACCGGCAGATTATCACTGAAAGATGAAAAAAATAGAAAAAGAAAAGAAAAGGTTAAGTGTACAAATACGGTTGACAACCATGTGTTGTCAAAATTCAAACTCATGATATAGAAAACAATTTTTTAAAATGAATGAGTATGATAAGATTAAGTAGGATGATATTAATCATAATTGTACATAATAGCATGAATCTAATCACATATCACTAATGATGAGGCCATGCGATGCACGGTACTGGATTTCGATATTTGTGACGTCAACATAGATGAATACATTGACCGTCCTTATTCAACCAGACAAAAAATGGTCTTGACCATAATTGGAAAGTACATTCCTGGCATGTTCGACCAATATGTAATTTTCTCCGTCCTTTTCCATATTAAAAGCCAAGCAAAACCTTGGTTCTTGGACTGTTGTCGGTCAAACGTAACAAGATTATTTCTTTGCAAGGAAAACAATAGAGATAAGAGATATTGACATGGACAATAATAGTAAGAAAAATTATCTTCAAGTGCCTCATAAGGAACCTCCCAATCATAATTGTCGTAGCTATCATAATGATCAACTTTGGGAGGTCTCTTTATATTTCAGAAGCCCATAACATTGGTCTTGATGATAACCACAATCAGGGGCGGACCCAGACGACTTGGGTTAGGGGGCCAAAAATAAAATTTATAAGGTATCTTCTAATAAAAAAAGCTAAGGAAAAAAAAATAGCTAAGCAAAATTTTTTTTTTCTCTCAAAATCTTGAGGGCCAATTGCCCCTCTAACCCCCCCCCCTCCAGGTCCGCCCCTGACCACAATTAGTGCGGCTTCTACATTTATAGTGTCTACGACTACGACCTCAACTCATTCCGAAAAGTAAGATTATGTGTGATTATGGATAGCAATAGCACAAGTTTTCATCCTTTGTGTGTGTTGGGCTTGGGGACGGGGACGAGGACGAGGACGGGGATGGGGTTGGGGTTGGGGAAGACGAAGGGGAGGGGTGAGGTCCATGCAAGCAGAATCCTCCATCTGGTTCGTGTATATTTTTCATGTGCCAATTGTATATGAGTTGGTACTCAGACACGTCTTGGGTCAAAATTCAATGAAAAATATGGGTTAGTTACTTCTTTGCAGCCCAAATGGTCCACTAAGTCTACTACCCCAAATTAATTCAGCAATGATGCTCCTTTCCAATTCCTTGACCTATATATATCTTGTGGATATTACACAAAACCATCCATATATCTTTAAGCAAAAGAAATTACTTATTTTAAGTAACTTAAATTACTATCAAAATAGTTGTTCTTAACTTCGATTGAGAAGGATTTATTTTAAACCAAACCTATTTAATTACTTATGAGTTAATGTTATTTTTTAAAAAGTATTTTTAAGTTACTATCAAAATAAGAGACTTACTTATTTTTATTTTTGATTGATACAAAGAGTTATCTATTTACCTTGCTTTCACTAATTTGCCATGTGAGTTCCATATATGTTTACTAAGGAAGATTCATTAGAAAACTACCTATCCTGATGCATTGTTCTGAGTCGTCTTCTTCCATTCATATGGTAGATTTTTGGACATAAATGGAGTTAAATAAGATTTGTACGTATAAATTGGAATGGAGTAATGCTATTAGCAGTCGCTCACTAACGTAAGGCGATTAAGGTAGTGAGCGACTGCAAATAACATTAATCCGAAATGCAAATACACTTTTATGCATGGCGCAATGAATGTCACGTCTCTTTAAATGCAATAGGTACATGCTGAATTACAGATGCGACAGTATTATAATGTTAAAAAGAGGCAAATACACTTTTATGCATGGTGCACTAGGTTGTAGAATACATACACGAACAAAGCCGAAACAAAAAATGTAACATTTTGAAATAAAGATTGATTTATTCCATATTCAAAGGTTACTTTATAGCTTCCATAGTTGTTGCTAGATGGCCTACATAATTCTGTACAATTCGCTCGTCTTTACCTGAAGCTAGAAATTCGAAAGTAGCAAGAACAAAAATATTTGATATAAAGTCTTCCATTCGGGAAAGATGATCTTCTAGTTACCATTCCAACTCTTGTACAGAAACAACAGATGCTCTCAACAACTCTATCGTGGTGTAGTGAAATAAATTGCGTCCATCGCTGTTTGCGAGGATGAAATGTGTGTAAAGGAAAAGATGAAAATCAGGTAATATGCACAACTAGACTATAGATAATAGAATAATCTAAACAAACCAGATATTCTACATATATATCGACTATCGTTGTAATTCTGAGAGTACTATTTGTCCCAGCACAGAAGCATTCTAATACAAACTCTCACAACGTAGAATTTCCCCTTCTGTTGTGTCACCATTCGTCTCCACTTCTCAAATCGTTTCCCCATTCTTCTGGTACTAGTCCTTCTATATTCTTCTAAGACTTGCATCATGCTCCAATTTATTGACAAGAGGATTTACTAGCCAAAATTGGATCGGCAAGCAGATTTTGGATATCTCGTGCAGTAGGGACAGTTTGTACCCTCAGGAGATATCTCTGTCACGTGGGTATATCTGTTGGGAATTTACTTAAACATGCACAGCGGAATTTAACAAGTTTCAATTTCCATTCAGGATTCA